CCTCTATAATCTTGATTGGACACTTTGCAGTGTGTCCTGTTAAATTTGCAATCTGCTTAGCAGCGAATTGCAACTTTTTAGACATTTTACAGACGTTCAGAGACGCTCTTGAAATTGCATCCGCTTCTAGATTGCTTCCGAAACAGGATATCGCCGAACGCGGTCGCAACGTTGGGAAACAGCTTATAGGAAGACGAAAAAAAACGGTTGTTGATTATACCGGCAGGAATGCGTCCAGAGGAAATCTGTTCTTCGGCGTTCGCCTAACCGGGACACGAGTTCTGTCGTTCCACGTGCCGAGAGATCGATCCAGCTGGCTTTTACGGTGCAGTAAAAATGGAAGCTTCGCTGCGAGCTCGTAAAAAAAAAGCGTTCTCTTCACCTTGATACCGGGCTTTGCCAGGACCGACAAGCAAATCAAAGAAAAACAATTTGCTATAGCCATCCCGAGGGACTGTCGTCTCGGACAATATGCTATGCCCGATAAAAAGATCGACGATTGAAGCAGCATAACTGGTCAGCAATCTGCTGGAAACGTGAGTTTTTGAAATTTTTTCTGAGGAAATCAATGAAGCTTTTTTTTTAAAAAATATCGTATTTAGTAGTAGATGTATGGCACAATTTGTAGAAATATTTTTCTGTCAAAATTGTTGAAAATGGCTGAGCGATGGGTACATTTCTAAGAGCTGTTTTGCAAAGAAGGCGAAAAATGCAAACGTTGGAAAATTCGTATTTTTGCAACAACAAGTTGTCATTAATTTTTGCAAACACGTTACTTTGTCTATAGTGTGCTAATAGTTAACGGCGATTATTTTTGTTGACGATTATTATCATATTATGTATGTGTGTTTTAACGTTTACTAAACGTTACATATGCGCGCGTGTGTATGAGGTAATTCTCGGAATTTCGCAACAAAACGATTACAACACGTGGTCCAATGTATGCACTATCAGATAAGATAATCGTTCGAGAACGAATCTCAGTCATTGCTTCGCTAAAAACTCCCAAAGCTCGTCCCGCCTTCCTAACCCGCCGTTGATTCTCTTAAATCGCAGTCATTGGTTGCTCGAATCAGATTACCCACGATTATCGAAATGGCGTTAAGCCAGTCCTGCGGCAGGGAGATCGTCTGCTCGCAGTTCGCTTCATCCTCCAGGATCCCCTGAATCGCTGGATAATCGGGGGCTGGGAAAGAAGTTTCAAGAAAGCAATAAAAGGGCGGACACCGTGGACGAACGTTGGGAAAAAGTTCCGCTAGCGGTGCCCGGCTATGGGAACTTCCGCAAATTGGATCGACGTCGTAACGCGGTTATCGTTCGACCTTCTTCGGCATTCTTCTTGCGGAATTTTTCGCGTATCGCGGCCTAGTACAGCCGATCTGAACCGCGCGATTCGTTTGGACGTGTCGCGCCTCGAGATTCACGAGGTTTAATTTCTCGCGGTGGAACTTCGGCGTTTTATTGCGAAAAATTCAGAGCGAAGGAAGGAGGAGGTAAAATTAATCATGAAATTTTCAGAGAGATCTGCAATTTGGGTATTGTGCTCTGCGAAGGTCCGTGATAGATTGTGGCGGATCAGACATAAAAAGACACGTCCTCCAAAAGCGGGATGTACATATGCCTTTTTCGGGTTTTCCCGACGCAAGGCGTACACACCGCAATAAAACAATAAAAACGTTGGGACACAGCTTCGGACCATAGGTCCCGGATCACCCCGGTCGGAAAATCTTCGGGAAAGGCCTTCGCCCTTCCCAAGGACTTTTCCTTACCAATTTCAATACGTTCTCCCCAATAAATACGAGGACCTCTCGACCGGGAGAGGTCAGTTAGCAAGTTTTCCTCCAACTCTCGACGTGTTCATATTTCTGTCTCATCCGTCACTCGTTTACCTTTACCTTTTACACACTGTACCCCATCGCCTTTTTGTTACAAGTTATATTAAAGTTCTCGTTATATAAAAACCAAAAAAACTCTCTCGGATTATTTTATATAAACCGTCGCAGTAACCCCTGCGACAAAAGATCATGGAATTATCTTAAGTCATCGTAAATAAAGGAATCATCAGTGAAGGAGTCGCCAATTAAAGAATTGCCAATAGAAGAATAATTAAGAAAAGAATCACCAGTGAAGGAACTGCCAATGAAAGAATAATCAACAGAGAAATGTTGAATGAAAGAATCATCAATAGAAAAATCACCAATAAAAGAATCATCAATGAAGATATCAATAATGAAAGAATCACCAATGAAAGAATCACCAGTGAAGGAATCATCAGTGAAAGAAATTCTTCCCTTATTCCTCTTTTTATAGAAATTCCAGGAAGATTTCGCATAATTATCTGCAGTTCGATAAGATCCTGGAATTTAGGGTACTTCTAGTTCGAGGAAGATAATTTCCAAAACTAGTGCAAGAGGGTATTGGATTTGCAAGTAGAATGCTTCACACCACACTGGCGGAGGTCTCCTGGCTCCTTATTATCGCGATTCCCTTTGTTGACCAACGGCCCAAACCCCTCTATAACGACAAGCTTGGTTTACTACCTCCCAGTGTCCCCTTATCTTCAAGTACGCATCATTTGTTAAGACTAGGTCCCTTCTAAGTTCTATCTGGTGTCCACAGAGGTGCAGAGTCTCTCACAATCGACAGGACCAGCAGGCAAATCTAGAGAGATGCATTTTCTCCTGTGCTGGTTGCGGAATGATAACGAACGGTCGCAAAATATGAAGATATGAAAGAGGCGCAAGAAAGAAAATACCTTTTGAAATTGAAATTTATACTGACTTCCAAAAAAATTGAGTCTTTAATTATAGTCAAAAACTAAAGCTATTGATTTGATAGTAACGATATGATAGAAAGGATAATAAATTATGTTAATGTAAATCTGCGTAAAAGTGTTTATTCGATAAAAAATAAAGGTGACAAGAATTTCTTTTAAGAGATCATGTAATTTTTTATGCAAATGCATAAAAATGCACGCGATGCATCTCTGTATTTTCTTTGACAAATTATTTTGGTCGACAATTTATGATCTTTGTCCAGGATGCTCATATAAACGACGCACTGTGCGTCGAAGGCCATCCGGGTAGGATAAGAAATGGAGTGGGATTTTTTAATATCGGAAGGACTAGGCAGCACCGACCGGTGCAGCACGAGAGACAATGGAAAATGGGTAACGGATTTGATATTAGAATTATCGGATGGATGACCCAGGCGACAAGTGCACGGTTGACGGTTTAAAGTGACAGTTTAAACATGTGGCCGTTTTTGTATATTTTTGCCGGTTGTTCACCTAAGCAGGCATCGAGCTCGATCAGCTGAGCTCGATGTCGTGTACAAAAACTATAGCGTCGCGCGAGCGTTCTTATACACAGGCCCTAGGTGACACGAGCAAGAAATGGTTTTGCGGGGACTTAGAAAAACTATTCGCTATAATTTTGAACGATTATAGTACAGAATCTTTAATCATCATACAGAGTATTGTAAAATAACGAAATCGAATAAAAAGAAATAAAATACAAGAAGGAACATATTCTTTGAACTGGAAATTTAAATATTAACCTATAAATTGGATTTGATTTATGATACAGTGTTATAAAATATAACAAAGAAAATATTCTTTAAAATTAATATTGAAGTATTGGCTCTTAGATTGATTTTTTCATAGATTTTTGTTTATAGATTGAATTTATATTCCATAGCATTATAAAATGGGAAAAGATAATATTTCGAAATAAAAAAGAAACGATATAAAGTGGAAA